AAAAAATCGCAAAGAGACTCGTCGCGCGAGGAACGACGTGAAAATCAAATTTGATTCGTGACGATAAGAAATTCAATCCTCGAGATAAAATGGTAAATAAATAAAAGCGAGAAGGCGAGCTGCTTTCGATATCGTGCACAAGGAGTGACCGGATCGCAAGGACACACACGAACGCAGGATGCGACCCCGATCTCTCGCGTGTGTTGTATCTTTTTCTTTCCTCGAGAATCGTAACGGAGAGACGAAGATGTAAAAGAAAAACGGACTCGTCGCGATTTTTATGACCTTTGCGCGTTCTCTATTCTAGCCATGGCGTTCTTCCATCGCACGCTCGATCGTACGTAATAAAAATGCCGAAATAGAAAGTCTCCAAGAGTTGTGCGCGCACGATATACGCATTGAAATATACTTTCCTTGTGTTTTGTTTGGGCGCGCGGTCATTCGAAGAAAATCTCAAGGCAGCGTATTCGTGTGACGCACTCATCTTTTTTTCTTTTTCGGAAAATTCGAAAGCGTTCAACGCAATGTGTGTACAAGTTTTCACTTACCGGCCGCGACCGATTATTATGCTGTCCGGTGATTGTGACGTTCCTCGCACACGGGCCGCCGCTTTCCCCGAAGAACGTAATCCACCTTGATCCACCTGCTCCGACGGGCACACGACTCACGAATGCGAGTGGGAAAAGATACGCAGCAGAGTTCAAGCGGACTCGGCGAGCGCGGCGCCATCTAACGGCGCGCTCCTCCGCCATCTTGAACTGTCATCGCGACGTCATGTTCGCGGGAAAATCGAACGGTGACCGAGAACTCTGTAAAATATTTTAATTCAAGATTAAATATTTTAATTCAATAATTGTCATCTGTTGAATAAACATTAAGATGATTGTTTTGTTTGCTTGTAGCTTTTAAACTTTTGAGTGATTTTTAAAGAAGAGTAAAAAAATAAGGATATATTATTATATAATAATTAAATGGATTATTTAAAAAATATGTTTGCAGAAATATATCCATTTAATATAATATCAAAAAATCTTATTGGGGAAATTTTTAATCTTATGCTACAACTATATAAATTCAGAGACACAATTTTCCTAAAATATAGATCTGCGTTTTAGTTTTGTTATCACGCGACCTCTGTGAGAGATAAGATTTCCAACTCTGCGAAAACTCTCGGGAGTCGCAAAAAAAAAGGCGTATCGAATCTTACACCCCCGACACCGTGGCGACGGCCCTGCTATGACCAGTTTTTATATACACTTTGACATCCAACATGGCCACCTGATATGTAGCAGACGATACGCGCACAGGTGGCATGAAGAGCTGTAAATAAAATCCACCCTCTAGATTTAATTATGAGTGGACGTGTGCAGAAAGAG